AACTATAATAGCAGTTTACATTTTGCAACTCAGTACTAGCAGCACACTTCACTTTGCAACGCAGCTCTAGCGTATGGTTCTTCAGTGCACATAGCTCCAGTGCGTTTTTGAAGCACTGGTTATTAGCTACGATCTAAATGTCGTTGCTACTGTTGGATACTGGATCAGGAGATCGCGTAGGGATATAGTCGGGATGGCGTTCTCATCAGAGTCTGTTTGATTTTCTCTTCAGTTTAGTAATTATCACTCACATCGCTATTTGAAAATCGTCACAAAACAACACTACAAGCAGCAGACTGTTTTTAGAATCGCCGTTTCTCTGAATTCGACGCTGGCGGCAGCACGCTACTCGGAAATACCCTGCGGAAACTAGCCAGCTGGACCGCCCCAGCCATATCCTTCCGCCTTTTACAGTCCCAGCGCTGTCTTCGCATCGTTGGGACTACTTTTTGCGTAAAAGTGATTCAGGCGCTTTATTTGCGCTGCCAAAGAATCCTTGTAACAAGCAGCCGAAAATAGCTCAGCTGGAAGTAGCGGGTGACTGTAGTGGATTTAACAACCAAGATATCACCAGGTCCCTGGTTCAAATCCGGGTTTTCGGACATTTTTTTGCCGTTCAGATTATCTTTTGATGTTTTGGCGTGACGGATCCACGAGGCGGTCTTTTGCGTGTCGCAACTCATCAAGCAGCTATTTACGATCCATGCGCACTCTGATTCTTTTTGGTAGTACGACGCCAAAGTGACACGCCCTTGCATCAGCGTCTTTTCTTTTGCCCATTCCTCTTTTCTTACCTGCAATAAACACATTGGTGCAGTGGCGGGGCACAGCTCGGCGGGCCATTCTCTTTATTAGCACTAAACTTTGAACAAAACAGTGGCTATGCCGAGCCTTTGCAGTGCTGGCAGTACTTTCAGCAACCAGCATGTTACTTTTGTGGTTTTGGTTTAATGGTAAAGGCATAAGGGGAATGCTTAACTAAATCTTTGCAGGTACCCCCACATTTTCCACATTGGCTTATATTTCCGCTCATTGTCAGCAAGTTCAAACGAGTTGGTGGAGAATAAAATGAGAGGCATGCATTAGCCATTTTATACTTGGCACAGTCGGTATTTACTCAACAGCTTAGGAATAATCTTCTTGCAATGAATTATTATGTCCTTTGTGCTATTTTTCTAGAGTGAGACTTGCACAACTGCCTGATTGCTGCGGCTCTCTTTGACCCAATATAAAAAGAGTAGCAAGTGATGTCTGCACTCTACATTATTTGCAAAAGAACCCAAGCATCCTTTGTGCTATTCATCTTGGGGTGACTTGTACAACTGCCAGCATTGCTGCAGCTCTCTTTTACACAGATCAAAATATTAGCAGGTAATATAAGCACTACATAATTGGCAAAGAACCCAAGCATTCTTTGTGCTATTCATCTTGGGGCAAGACTTTTACTCCTGCCGGAATTGCTGCGGCTTTCTTTGTCATGAAAAGATGCCGAGCACAGGGGCCAGCTGCTTTATTTAATCTAGAGCACACGATTTCATGGATTTTCTGTAGTTATTTAAATGTAGAATTGATAAACTAACTAGTATTTATTACAACAGACAAAATATTCACTGTAATGTGCCAATCCTTGCAACACTCAATGGAAACATGCTTTTTAGTTTTCAACATTAAACAATGTATTCCAGTAGTTGCTGCCACAATTTGCAAGGACACAGCATGCTTGCACGTTACTTATTTATTACTTAGATGATGTCATTCCTCCTCTGCCGCTATGTAGTGCTGGCTTTGTGCATGTCCCTCCACATAGTATACAGTTAGCTTGCTGCATGGTATATATACTATAAAATAAAGGAATATGTTGGTGTTGGTAATTCTTGGAAAAAAGGATGGCCAGTTTTGTCTTTTTATAACAGCTGTTGCTACTACACAACACACAGCTTCAATGGAATGGAAAAGCTATGGCCGCCATTTTCAAAAGAAAGCGGAAATTAAAAGATGGCCAGTGCACACAAACATTAAAACACATGACCAATACAATGAATTTCTATATTAAAACCGGCATCTTTGCAATTTTTACTTTTACACAAAGGGCAAACAACTGCCGAGCATTGATTGAACAGAGACTTTGTCTTTGGATACATTTTCCTCAATTTAGTACTATGGAAAGCGACGATTTGTAGCATGGCAAGCTTCACATAAATCGTGGTACCACTGCACACACATCCACTCATTGAAACTTTTAATATGTGCATCCACTCCTACCCACCCTGAGCGCAGCTCTACCGAGCGTCACCCTTTGGTGCAAGGATTATTAAATGGATACCATGGCAACTCATAGCTTCTGTGCAAAGCTCTATACAGCGCTTGCACTGTGGTTTAAGATAAAAATAAACAGGCAACGCAATTCGTTGTAAAAAGCAACTATTTAGACACTGCAAAAGCTGTTATTAAACTGGCACAAAAGATAAACGGATCTGTTTTGAAACTGTGCGATGAAACATGACGCTCGTCGATCCACAAGCAGACAGTCCAAAAAAATGGCAAAAAGTATTCCGCAACGGGGAATTGAACCCCGGCCGTCACGGTGAGAGCGTGAAATCCTAGCCACTGGACCATTGC